CAGAAGAGAGGGTGGCAGAAGACAGGGCAGCCATTGCCCAGAAGAGATCCCAGGGAAGGAATTTGGGAGCCCAGACAGGGGCTCTCTGGAGAGAACAAGGAGCAAGCTGCTCATGCAGGGAAACATAGGTGAGGACTCAGTGTGCTCTACATCTTCTATACCAACACCTCCCACAAAAAAGAGCTGCTTGGAGCACATGACTGTAGCCACAAGAGATGGCCCAGGTAAGAGCATCACAAGGCAGCAGAGAACCCAATGAAGAAGCCTCAGGGATTCTTGGGGCTGGGAAGCTGGCAGGACTAGCAGTGAACTGGGCCATTGTAATGAGGGACCTCCCTATGCCCTGGGAAAGGCTCCTTCCAACACTTTATAGATGTACCAGGCAGGGGGCTCTAAAGTCACAGGTAGGGCCCCATGGGCCAGGCAGGGTCTTACTCCTTAACACAAACAAGGGCTTCTCTCACCCTAACAAAGGTCCCAAGGGCAAGAGACCAGTTTATTTTTTCAGACATTAGCAGGCCAAGGATTGCCCAGTCTCCCTAAGAGAGAGGACTAAAAAGTCCACCAACACAGGACTCACCCAGGTAGGGCCTATCTTTCCTCACATAAGGGGCACCCTAAACTTGGGGCCATTCCCTCAGACTGGCTCCTGACAAGCCTCAGGCTCTTGCCCAGATGAAGGGCCCCAAGGGTAGAGCCACCCTTTCTCTAAGCCCCACAGACATGAAGTCACATCTGTCCTTCAGGTCATACTTGATAAGAGAATACTAAGTCTCCCCTTCAAGGTGAGACTGCCAAATTAACAGGTCTCTGACCACATCTCCCAGGGCTCCTCTGAGGGTCAACAGCTCCCTTTCAGACACACATTCCCAGAGTAGATAGAGTATGTCTCAAATGTGAGGGCAACTCATCCAGGGATGGCCCTCCAAGTGGATACCCTAGAGAAAGGGCATGTCTTTCCCACAGGATCTCCCCAGGATAGGGCCTGACCACTTCAACTTGCCTCTGGGCAAGGAAGAGCCATCTCCTTCCCAAACTCTCTGCTTACTGTAGCCATGGCCACATGACCTCTACCCCTTGCTGAGAGCTAGGTCTGTGACCCAAGTTATTTGCCCTTCCCTTTCTTGCTCACTCAGGCCCCCAGCCCCCACCCCATCCATCCATCCTCCCTCCAGAGTGTGATGGGGCCACAGTTAGGACCCCTCTCTTATCAGGGGCCTGACCCCAACCCAAGAGCCCAGGCAGCCTGGAGACTGTCGGAACTGGAGGCCCACAGGTACATCCCCCACATGGGGTGGCAAGGCACAGATGAGCCTGGCATTGGCAGCTACCCTCCCTGGCTGGCTGCCGCGGCTGCCCTCCGCAGTTACCTGGCCGGTTAGTTTTAAGGTGGGCCCTCAGAGCAGATGGAGGCCTCCCCAGGGGCGGTCCCGGGGTGAGTGCCCACACCACTGGCCCCACCATGCCTGGCGCTCTGCTGTGCTCGTCCAGAGCTGGCGGGCAGGGCCGGCCAGGGGAGCAAGGTCCCCAGCAGTGGGCTGCACTGCCCCCCTCTAGCCCTGACTAAGGACATGAGCCCCAGAAGAAGTGAGCATTTCTATTGACCGATTGCAAAGGTGAGAGAGGATCTCCAAAGCCCATTGTCACTGCTGCCATCTGAAAGACAGTAAAGACAGAGTTCAGTCTGTTGGAGCCGAGCAGTCTCCCGCTCTCGTCAACACCTCACGCAGACAGCAGCAAGGCGCGGAGTCCCCGCCCTGCCAGGGAGGCCCGCCTGCCTTCCCACACTGCTGGCCACTCTGGCTGGTCACTGGCACCTGCCCAGGGGGGCTTCAGAGCCCCAGGTGCCCCGCCCCACAGCCTTTGCAGCAAGACCGGCGAGGGCAGAAGGAAGGGAGGAGAGGGATGGACAGCACAGTGAACAGCCAGTATGAATGTCTGAGGGCTGGACCTGGGGGTGGGGAAGGCTCAAGGCCCAGGAACCTGTCAGCTTCACATAGGCTTCTTCCCACAGATATCACAGCCTCCAGCCTAGAGTAGGGCCCAGTGGAGCATACCCCTAGACTGCCCCTTTAGTCGAAGGCCCCAGGAATAAAGGCCTGACCATAGGGGTAGGGAGGATCACAACCTACATACATGCTGCCACCATGGCTGTGCACAGCCTGGGTGACAGGGTGTGGTGGAGACCCAGAGGCACCAGTGGGAAGACCAAGAAGGAGAACTGGGCAGAGCTACAGAGAGGAGTGGGGAGGGGATGGAGAAGGGGCATTATCAAGCAACAGGAGGAAAGGCCAGGCCACTCATGCCTCAGAGAGGACCCTGGTGGTCCAGAGAATGAATCTTGAGAGTCTGAGAGTGATAACACCTTCTGGGGGGCAGTCGGCCACAGGCACAGGAGGAGGCAGAGAAGAGGAGGAAATGGTGGAGGTAATGGGGAGGGGCAGTGAAGGCTTCCTGGCCCAGGCTGGGCAGGAGGGCCTCCAGCAGAGCCAGCCCCAAGATAGTAGCAGTGGTGTGCAGGAGGGTGGCGGGGCTCACCTGCAGGTTGGTGAGCTGCTGCTGCTGGTGCGCGATGGTCTGTTTCACCAGCACACTCTTGATGCTCTGCTCCATTGCATATTTCTTGGCCTGCAAGAGATGGCAGTGAGGTGCACTGGGGAGCCCAGCCTACAGGGGGATGACCTGCCTCACCAACCTTGGCTGAGCAGTTGTGCCCAGGAGGTGTACTCTCACCTTCTGGAGGGCCTCCTGCTGCTCAGGCGTCAGGGGAGGCAGCCCCAGCTTGGTGCCTGTGCTTTGCCCATTTTCCATCTTGATAGAATCTGCACCCTGGAGTAGGAAACAAGGGAGTTATTCAGCAGCAAATCCAAAATTTCTCATGTCCCAGAAACCCCACAGGCCCTCTATCCCTAGACTCTTAAATCAAAGTAAAAAAGCAAGCCCCAGTACAAGCTACTTCTTGCTTGGTTAGGATACAGGTCTTCCTTTTAGACATTGCTATCCCTATTTAGGCTTCTGTCAGTCATGACTCATGGGTGGGACATATTAAACCAGGCAGGTATCCTGTAGGGCCAGCAGCATAATGGCCTCCTCATGCAACTAACATAGGAGAGCAGTGTGCCTATCCCCTTGTTGACAATTTGACCCAGAGTCTCTGTCCCAAGTCCTGTAGAACAGCCACCTCTGTTGTCCTCCAGAGCCCAGGCAGCAGAACCAGGATCAAAGATTCATTACTTACAGGCTACCTTGCACTCTTGGTTTCCTCAATAGCCCTTGCCAGGGCCTCAGGCCACCCTAGAACAAGGTAAGGGGCTTCCTTCCAATAATGCCCATTTTGGGCCCTGAAGACATTCTTTCTATATGCCTCCCAGAGACGGTGAGTGTTACTCTTCAGTTCATGAGCTCTACAAGGGGTACAGCCCACTTCCATTAACACTCCTGTATGGCATGTGTTCAGAACACCAGAAGCCAGGTGCAGAGCAGCACCCTAGCCAAATGAATGTAGAATACATGGTACTGGCCAGGGGAGGGCTCGACACTTGCCACAGACATAACTGAATGCTACCAGAATTGTGTTCACATTACTCCTATCAAAGCCATTTCCAAGTTGTTTGCAGGAGAGAAACAGCCATGTAAACAGGGAAAGCCCAATGTCAGAGCCAGCAGATGCTGGAAGCAATGGATAGAGCCAGTCTATGTATCTAACCAGTTCAAAATACCTCTGGTGACTCTTCTAGGCTTTCAGACACAACCTTTGAGAGCAACAGCAGAGAGAAGGCCCTCAGCATAGGAGTAATAGGCAAGGACTGAAGTACAAAGAAGGCAGGCAGGGTTTGGCTGGACTCAAACCCCATGAACCCCATCATGGATGCCAGAGTGCTGAGTTTCTGGTCAAAGGTCAAAAGGCAGGAAGCTTATAAGGCCCCCGGGGCAGAGTCCCAAGAAGACCCCAAAGTCTCTCAAGAGCTGGCAATGGATGGAACCAAGGGCTGTAGTGTGGCTCACACTAGATCTGTCCTCTGCCCTCTCAGCTGGCCCCAGGCCTATGAGGCTGTGACACTAGAGTAGGCTATCACCATGGAAATAAATACCAGTTCTTCTCAGCCCCCTAGAAACTTTTCAATCTCTTCTTTGTCTTGGTGAACAAAAGGCCCTTCTCCCACCAACCAATGGCATACTGGCCAGCCAGTCAGGACAGAGAGCTTCAGCCCCCACAACTTCCCAAGATGCAGGCTGCATACCAACATCTCTGTCTGCACCCCCTGCCACACACACACACACCATTAAGGCCTAATCAGAGGCCACCACATTATCTTGTTGAAACCTTGTTGAGACTCTGTGGAGGCGGGAATAAAAAACCTATCACTTAGCAACAACATCCAGTTTCACATCCCAGAAGACTTACTCCCATAGGTTAGTGACTAGAGAACAAAACCTATCCACAGCCACCCATAAGCCCAGAGAAGCAATTGGGGGTGGGTGTCCCCAAGACACGTGTGCTTTGACATACATGTTATTTTGTTGTTTTACTTACATGAAAACAAAGAGCTAAAATGGAAATCCCTATTTCTGGCTCTAGACACAACATTGCCATTCTGAAACAGAGGGCCTATCCTTCTGCACAATGCTAATGGCTCCAAGCCAGCACCACTGAGGGCTAGGCTGTAGTTATTCCCATCATCTCCATCTCCTCCCCCTGCTGCCTGCCTAGCCAACTGCCAGGCCCTGCCAGGCTTAGGCTAGATGGACTCCCATAGACAAGATGCAAAACAGAAGCAGGCTGAGGAGGGGGGCAGGACTAGGCCCCAGTCCTGTGGGCACTAGCTGCCCAGAAAGCAGAGGCTGGCCACTGGCTCCCCCCCCAACCACATGTCCAACTTGCCCAGTAAGGTCTCTCTAAGCCCAAGGATGCATGGGCAGGCAGGCAGGCAGACGGGCAGGCCCGAAGGAAAAGATGTGTAAGGTTAGTACCTGTGGAGGTTTCCATTTGCCCCCCCCCCCCCCCCCGCCCGCCGCAGCTGCTGCGGCCGCTGCCGCTGGCTCGGACCCCCCTCCTTGTTGGCCATTGACCTGCTGTAGGCAGGAAGGAAACATAACCAATAGTCACACAAACCAATCACCCAGACCCTCCTCTTACAAAGCTGAAGGCTGCCTTCCCCATCCAGAACAAGGGAGGCTAAAGAAGGTCAGCTGAGTGTTCACTCCCAGCATCACTCCCACCTGCACTGCCCATACACCCTCTGCCCTGCCAGCATACATGCAGCCACCCAGGGCACTGACAGAAACCAGAGCAGCAGCTCAGAGAGGCCCAAGCTGACAGTCTCCCAGGAAGGGACAAAAAGAGAGCAAGCAGTGTTCCAGCCCAAGGCCAAGGCAAGCCACCCTTTCCTGCTGACAGACTGAACCAGATTAGATGACAGGGTGACCAGCTGGATGTATTCTCCCATCAGGAACACTCTTTCCATCAAACGCTATACACACTTGGGCTAGGCCTCTAAGCTCAACCTTTATATTCCCGTAATTCCACAAGTTCTGGTCCTATCTAGGCTTCCCTCACCCAGCAGCCAAAGTGCAAAGCTGTCCTAGGAAGACAGCTGAGAACTTAGCTCTCTACTCTAGGCAAGACCCACCCCAGAGGAAACACAGAGAACACTGTTATCCAAAGGCAGCCATCAGGAGATAGAGCTCTTAACATGGTCTAGCAGAGTGGCCCCTGCCACCTGACAGACCTTGGTAGAGGCAGGCAATGTGGTAAGAGTAGGATGACATAATGGAAGGGCCCTAAAACCCACCCTGACTTTTCTGAGATTGCAGCGTGAACAGAAGTCAGAATGTGCTTACCCTACCATCAGCTCAAGAACATGCTCCACAAATATCAAAGACAGTGAGATGGTTGTGCCATTCTTAGAGATAAAGCCAGAGGCTGGCCAACTTGGACAAAGTGGGTCTCTCAGGTCAGCAGACTACTGTAGGAGAGACAGCAGTACAACCTAGTATACTGCAGACTATGGCCAGCCCAGCCTGAACCTGGAGCTGCTCCTGGTGCTACCAACATAAATGCGCACTCCTGCCTAGCTCTGCTCCACTGTGACTTAGAAATGATGCCCCAGAGACTACTAAAGGAATGGCGGCGACTCCTGTGGCACAGGCATCCACATAACAGAAGCTGCTTCTCAACGCCCACAGTGAAAGCATGCTTCAGGCATTAGCCAGACACCAGTGAGAGGGTGAACCTGGGGCACGAGGATAACTTACTAGCCACCCAGGGACAGGGATAGTGCTAAGAGCAGCAGACAATGGGTATAAGCATTCCAGGGAAAGCTCACCTATGGAAGCTACAAAGGAAAATGAAAAACACCCAATTTAGCCCATTTACCATAGGACAGAGTTCTCTAGAATTCTGTTCCAATTAGTCTCTGGGAGAGCCCAGAGAAAACTATCATTTGTTATAACAGCTAGTCACTAATATGCATCTCAGCCATCTTTATCCCTGTTTAAGACCTAACAAGTCACACGCTGTCACCTTGGGCAATGGAAACAGCAGGCTTTGCAGTCACAATGCTCCCCAACACCAGGCAGCAGTGAATCAAGAAAGGGGAAGCCAGCCCCCTTGAGGAACAGTGTTGCTGAGCCAAGCTCTACCCTTCACCATCTCAGAACAAAGAGTTACTTCCATTACAATACATTTTAAATAACCTGAGGCAAATCACCTAAAAATCTAGGCCTTAAGCTCCTCTTGTGCAGGGGCATGGCCTATCTCTCAGGCAGCACTGAAGATGTTACGGAATCATCTTCCATGAAGTCCCTTAGTCTCTGGGAAGTAAGCCACAGGTTCTAGCAGTTATTAGTACCATCGACAGGAGTGACAGGCCCCTAGAATAGGACTGGCTGCAGAACGCTGTCTTCCATCTGTTCAGGTCCCTTCACAGGGTGCAGTGCTGTTTCCTGGGTAGCCAGGCTTGTACTGAGCACTGTGGATGCAGCAAAACAAGAAAGAGAAAGACAACTCTAGGGTCCTAATAGTCAACTGACAGCAAAGACTATTCCAACTGCTTTAATGGTGAGAGACTTACTGCCCACGCCCATCTTAACAATGGCAATACCTGTCTGGCACCAAGCTATGGTAGAGCTGACCCCCAGGTAACCTTTCAGTCTGCTGGAACACCGGAGGTTACTCAGAAACGAGGCATCCACTCTCCTCCAGTGCTGGCCAAAGTATTCCATACTTTGTCCCTCTGTCTTCTATCATCTCACAGCCACCTAAGGACAGTCACCAAGGACTCAACAACCTGTCTCTATACAAAGACCATTTGCTCCTGTAGCTTCAAGCAGCAAAGCATGACTTAAAAAAAAAAAAAAAAAGAAGATGTGAGTGGCACACACTAGCTTGTGATCTATCCCACACAAGCTGGGGCACGGGGGCCCCTTTCCAAGTAGGAGGGTGCAGCTCCCAGCTAGGGCCGAGCAAGGGCAGCCTGTGTATACTACTTGGTTCTACCAGCCCTGCCTCCAGCCACCTTCGTGTAAGTCTTCTCAGAGCTTGCTCCATCCCTCTGGGTGAGGGTCGCGGTTAATAAAAGGCTGGGTTGCAGTGGGGTTAGATCCAAGAGATAAGTGGTCCCTAGGGTAAGTGCGGAGGAAGACCTGGGGCAGACACTCTAGGAATATTCCTGACTGAACAGGGAAAACGCTGAGCAGAGCAGGCCAGAGCTCGCCCGCACAAGACATGGGGTTAGCAAAGTCTTATGATGCCCACAAGATCTGCGACCAAGGCAGGCACTAGCTGTCGGCTTTTCTCCAACAGAGAGAGGGGAAGAGTGACTGCTCGAAAGACATGGGAGGATGTCCTTCCCCTCCTTCGTGGGGGTAACAGAATGGGAAACCCTCTTCTCTGTGCACCACCGCGCAGAGCAAATGCCACGGGTCTGCCCCTTCCGCGTCCCCTACACGGGCGCAGTCGCGGAAGCCCGGAGTAGGCGTCACGGCTCCCTGAGGCCGCCGGCCACCTAGACAGCTATCGCCCATCCTCAGCAGGGCGAGGACCGCCCCGCGGGGGGCCAG